CACTCTCACTCTCACTCTCACTCTCACTCTCACTCTCACTCTCACTGTCACTCTCATTCTCACTCTCATTCTCATTCTCACTCTCACTTTCCCTCTCACCCGCACTTGCTTCCTCTCCCGCTCCCGCTCCCTCTAAGTGGTGCAATGGTAGCCAAAAAAGTTTCCGATGAAGCAAGATTTATATGTCCATTTTCATCAATCAATGTCCCATTTCTTTTCTGTTTGTCCCGACAGATACACATGGATGGGCGATAATATCAAGTACCCGGCGGTGCTCAGCCAACGCTACCCAAAGGCGGGCGCACGCAATCCGAATGTGACGGTCAACGTGGTGAATCTGTCGGTGATCAAGTACATATTTCCCACACAGATCAAGCTGCCCGGGGATCTGGGCAACGGCAGCTATGTGGGCGGCCTGACCTGGGCGTCGCCCATCGATCTGTCCGTGACGGTGACCAGCCGGGATCAGACCAAGGCGACGACCGTCATCTGCCGGGCACCGCACTTCCACTGCCAGGTGGTGCACACCGAGGTGACCATCAACGACGGCTGGGTGCTGCCCGGCGAGCGGCCGATCTTCTCGGCTCGCATCGCTGCCCAGATGCGCGGCACCCAGCTGCGGCAGCTGCAGCTCCAGGAGCTGGCCAACGGCGATGCGGCCATGGACGACAGCCAGGCGAATGTGACCAACGGCCAGACGACGTACGAGATCTCCAATGGCGGCTACCTGTTGAAGCGTCTGCCCGTGCGCGACGGCGAGCACGGCCACTATCGGCACGTGGTGTTCATATCGTCGCTGGACCGACGGCCCGTCCCGCTGACCATGGGCCGGTTCGAGGTGACCGAAATCGTCGGCTGGGATGAGCAGCGCGAGATCGTTTATTTTATGGCTGCTCCTGAAAGGCGACCGGGCGAACGTCACCTCTACAAGATCAGCCTTAAACTAAACGTCACCGAAACGAATCGCACCTACATCACATCGACGCAGCCCACCTGCCTCACCTGCGACAACACGGAGTCCACCTATCGGCTGCATCGCGCCCGCAGCACCAACGCCGCCGCCTGGCAGCGCGGCGACAAGTGGGAGGACATTGTGTCGCGCCTGGAGCCGGACGACTGCATCTACGACATACCCAAGAATTGTCTATACAATCGCGTCCAGTTCAGCCGCGACTACAGCTTCTATGTGCAGGAGTGCCTCGGACCGGAGTCGCCCAGCGTCTACCTGGTGGAGACGGCCAGCAACGAGAAGATCTTTGTACTCAATGCGGGCGATGTTCTGCGCCATCGGCTCACCCAGCTGGCCATACCGCAGACGCGTACCTTCAGCGTCGAGATACGCCATGGCTTCCATGCGCAGGTGCGCCTCTACCTGCCCCCAGGCATGCGCGAGGAGGAGGAGGTCGCCTTTCCACTGGTGCTACATGTGTAAGTCTCGATCTATGTATCTATATATCTATATGTCTCTATCTATCTATACATCTATAAATCTTTATATATGTATGTATATCCATATATCTATCTATCAATAAATCTATGGAACTATATATCTGTTTATCTATATCTGTATACCCATAAATCTATATATCTATATTTACATACATACATCTATATATCCATATATCTATAAATCTATATACTCCACTTATAACGTTCGTCCGGTTATTGCGACAAAAATTCGATGTCTTCTCTGATTTATAAATCTATAAATCTATATATCTATAAATCTATAAATCTATATATCTATAAATCTACTAATCCATAAATCTATATATCTATAAATCTATAAATCTATATATCTATAAATCTATATATCTATAAATCTATAAAT